GCAGGGCTGCTGGGAGAGACGGCCTTATGTTCTTAGCTCCACCAGTCCAGAGTGGAGGTCTGTCTCACGGAGCTGGGAGGAGAGGAGGCACAGCGCTGGTTCACATATCGCAGATTCTCACTGATGTTACCAAGTATAGTAGATTTTCTTGAATAAATGTTTCTTCATTTGCTGTATATACTCATGACCATTTCCAAAGACTTTAAATGCTTTTCAAAAATAATCTTCATCAGCTTTACTGGGGAGCCGGTCCACAGATCTCATGCTGTCATGCTGGACAAGGAACCCTTATTACCATTATTTAATAAATGAGAACAATATTCACATAATTGGGAGACCAGGGGTGGCAGAGGGGAAAGGAAAGTCACCCAGGATCAGAACAGTACAAATACCTAATCATAGAATTCCAGGGTGGTAAAGGACATCAGATGGCATCTATATCAGATTTTACTGGATAGAATAATCTTTCTACACTCACTCTTAGATGTGGTCCTTCAGTGTCTACTTGAACACTCCCAGTAATGGGGAACTCACTACTATGAGTTTACACTGAATATTATCCCCACGAGCAACATAACTATGTAAAATCAAAAAACCTTGTGCCTGGCAAGGCCTGCTGTATGTGCAAACACAAGGGGAAACAGAGAAAATAGGTTCTTTGGAATCCTAAACAACTTTATGTCACCAGCAGGTCATGGGCATGCTGTAAAAAGGCAACTAGCTGTTTTTGGACACCAGGTGCCCCAGAGACTGCACTAATTTTAGAATTAACATAGTGCTTACTAAAGAGGTCCAGGACTCATGAGTCTGGAATGTGATGTTCTTTCACCCTCGGGCTGTGCAGACTCATGTTCTACCATTGGTTCTGCTCCAATCATTTTCTGATATGGAGAGAGGGAGAGCCAGACCACAGAACTGGCATGTGCCTGAGGAATTTGCCAAGAAATATGATTTAAATGCCAACCTTGAGAGATAGAGTTGGTGATGGCTACTCTCTGACGGACTAAGAGCTCATTTTCACAGTGGCATCGTGCTGATTATCCTCTACCCTCTCCAGATCCTTTCTCTGCCCTTCTCTGCCAGCTCCATGCCCCAGGAAGCTGAACCCTGCAGGCAGCATCAACTGGGCCCCATCAGTAGCCATCTTGCAGTTGTGTTCAGTCAATAGGGAGCACCAGCACTTCAGAGAGTGAGAAGAGAGAGGCTGGGGTACTGCTTCCCTGCTCTGGAACCCGGTGCTGTGGCCCCTCATCTGTCCTAGATCCAGTAGCACGATTTCCTGTCCTTGTCCTCTTGGGCCTAGGGGTGCAGCTGACAGCTGGTTGCTGGGTGTCTTACCACCTCCTGTCTGTACCCTTAACATCCACGCCTTTGAAACAGACCTTCACTAAAAAGCTCTTCATTTGATTCAAGTCGGGGTGAATCCTATTTCCTATCAAACAGATTCCTTGTTATCATCCTTCCATGGCAACAATGTTCCTTCCATCCTCCCCACTTATTATCAGGCCTAGAAAGCAAGCAAGACCCAGGTTGACATCCCAGCATTAACTCTAGTGGAGCTCACATGCTCATGTGGGTCCCATGTAAATAAAACAGATGACTTTGTTCATATCCCGCCCTGGAATTTTAAGCCTCTGTTGGATCCATGAATCTGTTTATTCCACAAGCTCTTTCCAGAGGTTGAAGAGCTAACATTTCTACATAGCTCAACTGTTGCTTGGAATCAGAATTTGTTTAATGCCTGAACTTTTCCTGCATTATGTGAAATATGCAGTCTTTGTACTCTTATGGGATAGTGGGAAATTTTGACACGTGTTTTCCTAGTTTAATTTTGAACAGTTGTCCTGAGCTCTGCCCCAAAGTTCTAGCTAATCAGTAAGTCTCCTTGTCCGTGAGCAAGAACTTAAAAATACATATTTAAAAAATTTTAAGCATAGGAAAAAGCAAACTATCTTCTTATGTCTGTGTTGATTCACTCAAGCTCTTTCTTTGTACTCATAGCCAAATGACTAAGCCTTCTATTTATGAATAGAGGGGGCTTCCCAAGACCTAGATACCCACCATTGCTTTTAGGCATTCATGTCACAAGCCAGCCCAAGCTATATTTTACCAAGTGGTTAGCTGGCATACTGGTTTGAATCTTTTATTTATTTATAGTGACAGTAACATATTTGGCACTTACATGCTCTACAAAAAGCTTGATAATCCCAGGTATCTTGTGCTATAAGTGGCCCAGCTTTCACAGTTAGAAATGAGTGTTTGGAGGGCAAGGGAGATGGGGAACATTCCAATTTGCCAACAGTTCCCTAATGCAAGTATGTCTTTGGAGCAGCTGTGTCGGCTACCAAGGAAACCTGTGAATTCGCCACAGGAGCTGTCAGGCCATTTTAGAGGCATCAATGATGAACATTAGGAGTTATTTCTGGAGTAGGTGATTGATGTTTCAAATAGAAGATGACATTTTGATGGGATCCAGACTTGCTGTGATAGGAGTTAATGAGGATAATGATGACGATAATGATATTTACATTATACATTTCTTCCAAAGAACCCTTCAGTCCTTTTATCTCACCTGTGTTGAAATTGTCCCTTTGGAGTTGGAAGAGGAAGGTGTTATTAATCTGTTTTTCAAGACAGAAAATACAGAGTTAATTGCCCAGCTTTCAGGCTCCATTTTGGTGGTGAGAAGAGATGTTTAAATGACACGTTAAACTTGGAAAAGTTAAACTTAGAGAAACACTAGTCTCCCTTCCCATCCATCCTATATAATGCTGCTACATCAAGCTCCAGTAATATCACTCTCTAACCCAAAAGTCTTCAGGGGATCCTCACAGACTGCCAAATTCAGTCCAAACCCTCTACCTTAGCAGCAAGCCCTTGACATTCCACCCACATTGTCTCACTATGCTCTTATATTTGTCCCATGTTTCAGCCAAACAAATCCACTTGCTTGCCCCTACCATCTGCTCTGAGCACCCATTCTCCTTTCATAATATTCATCACACTTGCTGTACCTTGTTTAATGTCCATCTTCCTATTTGGATGTAAATTCTAGAAAAGCAGGGACTGTCATCATTGCATGCCCAGGGCCTAGCAGAGTTAACTGGTACACAATAGGTGCTTCTGAAGCGCACACTATGCTCTCCCACCTCCAGGGCTTTGCTCACGCTGTTCTCTCAGTGTCGAATTCCTGCACTCACATCCAGCCTAATGAAGCCAGCGCCGTCCTTCCAAGCCAAGTTCAAATGCTGATTCCTCCGTCTGGTCTCCCCTCCGTAGGAACCTCTACGGCACTGTTCTTTTTAGTTCTTACCTTACCTTCTGTTGTGTCATAATCGTCTGTGCCTCTCCCAGACTGTGGGCTCTCGAAAGACAGGAGCTGAACCCGGAGCTGGCAGGGTGTGGGCACTTGTTAAACATGTGCTCACTTGTCTAAAACTACTGTTGACCAGCATTCTTTGTTCAGCAAAATTCCCATTTCCAGAATCTGCAGCTTGTCACGAGAGGGGATTTTCCTCATTCTTTCCTTCCTCCATTCTTCTGGAACGCTGTGAGGAAAATCAGTCAGGGGACCCTTGCCAACTCTTCCTTTAATAAGTGTCTCCCCCTCCTCTGTGTGGGGCCCTCTGGCACTTATGTGGAGGGGTTCCATCTGCTATGGGGGCCCAGAACAGGTTTGCAGGGCTGACTGTTGGCATTTTGTAGCTTCATCACCCATATCCATGCCAGTCTAAACAATGGAGAACTAACCAATGCACCATCAACTGAGGCAGTGTGATTAAATCAATGACCTCTCCCAAGAATTTTAGTACTGGTCTGTGCTTCTGGTGAGCATTTGCATATACCATTCAGTTACAATAAGAAGATACCAGATTGGACTAACTCTGGGTGTGTGTAAAACCTTATAAGCAGCATATTTTCAACAGCTTGAAGGCCCCAGCAATGTGGGCATACCAAACATCTGTGATATAAACACTCCAGATAAACTAGAAAGAGCCACTTCGACAACGGTGTCATGGAATATTCAGGGCTATTAACACTGATGATGTAAGTCTATACCTACTGACATGGAGAGATGCTCACAATATATTGCTAAGTGAAGGAAGCAAGCTACAGAACAGCAGGATTATGCAAAATTATTCCATATTTGCACCTATGCATAGATATGTGGATATTCTCTGAGATGTTAATAGTGGCTATCTCTAGGTGATGAAATTTGGGTTAATTTTTTCTTTTTACTTTTGTGTTTATAGATTCTTTTGTATTGTGTGAATTTTATTTTTACAGTGAGCAGTTATTTTTACAACTTGAAAAAGAAGCCAATAAAGCTACTTTCAGTTAAAAAAAAATTGTTGGAAATAAAAACCCTCATTAAAAAGACTTTCAAGTTTCCTAAAAGACACTTACTGTAAAACAAGCAAAAACCAAAACCAAACTCTTGCATGAAGGAAGAAAAAGATTGATCAGCTGCCTCCATAACCGAGCCATATAATGTGCTGACCAGAGTTATGAGTTAAGGGAAGAAGGGAAGCCTTTTTTTTTCCCCCTGAGGAAGATTCACCCTGAGATAACATCTGTGCTAATCTTTCTCTATTTTTTTGTATGTGGGACACCTCCACAGTGTGGTTGGTGTGTGGAGTAGGTCTGTGCCCGTGAACCTGTGAAGCTAGGGTGCTGAAGTGGATTTCATGGAACTTCAACCACTCGGCCATGGGGCTGGGCCCAAGGGAAGCCTTTTGAAGGAGGAGCATATGTGAAATCAAGATCTCCTGACCTAGCATGGAGAGTATGCATCCTTTCTAAGTACCTGAAGCATGAAGTACCACTGCAAATATTATTTGAATTCAAGCTTTATGATGGTAGCCAATTTACAGGTACAGTATTTCTAATTCCACAGCTCATAGTACAAGAGAGAAAACTTCCCATCTCTGATAGCAAGGAAACGGCGACTTCATTCACCTCAGCAGTTTCTATTGCAAAAAAAAGACATACGCTGTTGATCACAGTACAACTCACACTTTATTCCATCATGATTGGTACACTTGTAGGATCAGGACAGCAAGAGACTAAAATCAGTGCAGGACTTCTCTGGACTAAAGGGCCGTGAAAGGCATTACTGGTTTTGGCACACAGAGTGGATAACCATACATTGGCTGGAAGAAGATGGTCAGTAAAATAAAATGCACGAATCTAACACCATGTGGAAATCATGTCTGAGGTCTGTAGAATGTTAAAGAGTAAATAATGACAAAGTCTAACATGCAACTCTATATAAGTCACATTATTCATCTATGGACTATCTTCCTGCCTTAGAGATGAAGAGATGGTCTTAGTAATCTGTTCACAGTAGCTTAAAAGAGCAATCAATACACATTAGAGGGCTCTGCCTGCTGATTTCTATAGCAATCCATCATATTTGGAGAAATAATGCTAAATAATGTACTTTCTCTATATTATCTTTATTAAATTGAGTCTTACTGGCCAAGTAATTCTGACTCAACTTTTACTTACTTAAATAGATATTATAATATGTTTATAATGTTGAAAAGCAGTTTCCGTTAGTGTATCTACCCTTACACATCACAATAGACAAGAGGGTTATCTTTCCTCTTCAAAGATAATGTTATGCTGATGAGAACATCAAAGAAGTAATATTTTAGATCTTCACATCATCCTATCACATACGGAGTCCAAAGAAGCCAGTCTAGCAGCTGACGCAGCAGTGCAGAGTAAGATTCTGTGGAAGAGGCACACAGACTCTAAGTGATTTCTTGAGACAAAGGCAAAAGGGAAAGAAGTAAAGAAAAGTGAAAAACAGGCTTCTGTAGAACAAATTGTTCCCCAAAAAATCTATTCATTTGCAATTGACTAAACCCACTAGAGGAAAGTTCTTTAATGTGGAAGGATAGAAGAAAAGATAACGGAAATTTTGTCAGTTAACTTTAATATTAGGCCTAAACTGGTGGATTGGGGTAGTTTTCCCATGGTTGTTTTTGAGATGAACTCTCACAAGGAGACTTTCTGCTTTTGCCAGCACAGGGCCAGATTTAACCTAAAAGGGCAACCATCACTGCAGGGGACAATTTTTCTTTATTAACTTGGCATGTGGGTAACATTCATTCTCTCTGGTAAAAATATATTATTCACCCACAATGAGACAGTTGGAAATATGACAGTGGTCAAGATATGATTCATTCATAGGATGCATATAATTAGACATTTGCATGTGAAATGAATTTTATTTTATTGTATTTTGAGGAAGATCAGCCCTGAGCTAACATCTGCCACCAATCCTCCCCTTTTTGCTGAGGAAGACTGACCCTGAGCTAACATCCGTGCCCATCTTCCTCTACTTTATATGTGGGAGACCTGCCACAGCATGGCTTGATGAGCGGTGCCATGTCTGCACCCGGGATCCGAACCGGCAGACCCTGGGCCACCAAAGTGGAACGTGTGAACTTAACTGCTGTGCCACTGGGCCAGCCCCACAAATTTTAAAGTTAAGCAAAAAGGAAGAGAAGGAATTTCTTCAAAGTCTGGCATAAAACCATCAAATAAATGAAAAAGGCAGATAGTGGTTAAGGATGTCTTGGCTTTCTCAGACGTTTATCATTTCCATTTGCTAAGGGGGAGATGAAATTAATGAAAATCATTCTCTCTTGGTCACCAAACATAAGAAATGTTTGATAACAAACACACAGGTGAGCAGAGCAAAGCTTGAAGCAGTATTTCTTAATCTCCCTGATTCTTAATCTTAAACAAGCCACAGGCAATACAGGAAACGTAGAGATGACCAGGAAGTTTGATAACATGCCTGGATCAGTCACCATTCCTTCGAAAGTACCATTTCCCTGGCTTGCTTTAAAAGGCTGATTCTTTCAGGTTTAAGTAGAAGACAATGATCTCTCCCATCCCTGCGGGATTGTTCTTTGCAAGTTTAAGGTCGTGTAATTTGAAGGCTAAAGAGGAAAGAAGTCTTAATTGAATTCCACAGTAAATATTCATGGATATTTGAAAGCAGAACTGTTCATTATCTGCGGTTGGTTTCAAGCACCAAGCTGATCACTTCCTGAACATGCTCCATCTGGCTTGCACTAGACCATCAATAAACATTTTTAGATGTGATGTCTATTTTGAAAGAAATAACTTTGCTAGACCAGGATAACTGCAGGGAATAGAAGGCTGGAAATAGGGTGAGTCATGATGGGGGAAAACAGAAAGGAGCTGAAGGAAAAAATAAGACTATTCCCCAAGGTCTGGATATGGCTAGTAATGAAGCAAAAATTCATGGAATGTGACTTAAAGACTTTCTAACATGTTGTACCCACGGGGTGTTTCCAAGCTTCTTGATCTACGATCCCCTGGCAAACATGTGAAGCCAAATTTACCTTCCTAGGTGTGGTGCCCTACTTCTTCTGGAATTTAGATTTCTGGAACAAACCCCATCAGGATGTGCCTCTGTGTAGTTAATTCTCCCCCAAACAGTCGCTCTGATTTTGGTCACAGTTCAGTTCTGCTGGGGGGCCCATTTGCCCCTCTGGGGGAGAGTGGGGATGGTGGCAAAAGATGTCAAGAGGGAGAGGAGACCAATGGCAGGCAGGGTGGACTTGCAGCAAGTTATCCAGAAGGCATTTCACCCTGCATTTTACCCAAGGCCAAGGTGACTGTGACAGCAATGGAAAAGGCAAAGGAAAGTAACTGGAAAGAAAGTCTCCAGAGTTCAGAAAGAAAAAAGAGGGAAAGGGGGGGATCCATGGACCAGGGAATTTCACAGGAACCAAAGATGATTAATGATACAGAGAAAAAAAGACCCAACTTATCTGACTGATCAAGAAGACATACTTCAGCATATATTGGCAACTAAATGATTTCACACTGATAGTACAAACACCAAAATGAGTGTTTCCTTACTATTATTAATCACATTTCAATAATTCATTAGCTCTATATTTTCTAAATTGCTTAATTCATTTAGCAAATCCATAGCTTGGGTACCACTGTGAGGGGAGGGAGGAGAGGGTACAGAACGAAGCAATTAAACTGAGAATTAAACTTCCCTAAACCAGAGTTAGTGGCACAGTGGCACAGCAGATTGTCAACGAGAACGAAAGGAGTGGGTACAGTTATCGGCCTGTGAGCGCAGTGCTGCCAGCTATGAGGGAGGGACTGCGACTCAGGAGTCTGCTTTCTTGTTAATTAAAATGGAGCAGCAGGTGAGCAGCCCGTCCACCTTTTCCATTTCAGAATGGCTCACGGGGATCAGCATATGGTCCTTCAGCTTTTCATAAACCTACGGCAGGAATCAAGGAAAGGTAGAGTAGAAGGATTATGTTTCTGCCTGTCTTACCCCCTCCTCCCCATCTGGTATAGAGAATTAATTTGGCTTGTGAATTTAGGCTTTTCACTCATTTAACCCCAAGAGATGCATGCAATTGAGACCACACACATGCCCACAGCCATACCCATAGAACTAGCAGCATTGGTTAACCACGAGCTCTATGCTTTAACCTCAAAGCCAAAGATGTGTCAGAAATGTGGTTGTTACTAGAGATGCCTTCACTCTGCCGTTGTCATTGCTAGATTAAGTGATACCCGAAAGTTGGTGGCCGTGTTTTCAGTCTGAATATTACTCTTTCTCCACACTTTAAAACCCTCTCAGCTATACTTAGGTTTCTTTCCTTACCAATGCCGTTGGAAAAACTTGACAAAATAGAATTTAAGTGAAGTATTTCAGGTCAAACTGTTTTTAAATTACAGGTGTGAATTTTATAGCATCTTTTGACACTAATAGAAGGCATGTGTCAACACTTAACAGTCCACAGATTTTTCTCTGATGATCAAACGAAGCACATTTTTGGAAAACAAAATCACTTGAAAACATGGTGTCTAAAAACAATCTACCATGCTTCTTTAGGAAGCACTTTGTTCCTTAAAATTTGGTACAGTGGTTAATTAAGAGTGCTGGAGCTGGACAAAGTTGGGTTCCAAAAGCAGTTCTGTCAACTTACTATTTAAAGTGTGACTTTAGTCAAGTGACATCGCCCCCAGCCTCAGACTACTTTTCTGTGAGAGTGGAAGAATAACAGCGCCCCCACAGGGCTGTTGTGAAGTCAATAAGAGAATGCATGTAGCATGTTGAACTCAGTGCCTGGCACAGGGGAAGCCCTCAGTCAACATGGATGTTTTATAGTTATTGTTGACAGACACAGGGCTGAACGCAGAAGCAGTTAATGATCGTCTCGTTGTCAGATGACCCATGTGGCTCAAGAGGCATGAAGAATCCAGAGCTGTGTTTCTCCAAGTGAGTTCTATGACCCGGGTGTCTGTTGATGCTGCAGATTCTAGGGTGGGGGCCCAGGAACCTGTATTTTCAACAACTCTGATGCACGTTAAAGTATGAGGGCTGGTTAAGCCCCAGTGTGGGGTCAGGAGTTCTATATTTTCCTCATGCTCACACTTTCAGCCATGGAAACAGAAATTATCTACATAGCCCCCACCCTTCTCCTTTTATCTGTCAAGAGGGAGACTGATTATGAAAGTAAGCCTGGTAATTATACAGCATTGCATTCTTAAAAGATGGCATAAAATATTTTTTAAAATTTTTAAAGCTTAAGATGTGAAACAATTAAGATCAGTTATTACTAAAGGCTCTTCAGTAATGCTTAGTATAAATATCTTGTTCCTCTGGCCAGAGACGAAGACGCCCAAATGCCTAAAAAAGATATGGACACTTGAAGGATCTGTGGATAAGAACTTCCTATCTGCTCGGTGGGATTAAATTGAAATTACTAAAGTACACAGATGAGACTACAGAGTGCCCCGAAAGACAAGAAAGGGGGTCTCAGACCAGGAAGAATTCCGTATAGAGGGGCAATGCCCTTGCTGGAACACAAAGGCAGAGACTCTTAGAGGCACCAGTTGGCTGATTCTAAGTGTACTGTACTTTTTCCTGCTCTATCCTTTTGATCCTTCACTACCTAGAATGTGCAGCCTAAAAGCCCTTCTTTTTGCAGCCCTGATAAGGGCACTCACCTCTTTGGGTCATTCATACTTCTCCGCCTTAAGAAACAAATGACCTTCTGATGAAGGGAAGCTCTGATTTGTCAGAAAATAATGATACAGTTGACCATCTAATTGGAGGTCTCTATGCATAAAGAGTATGTGAGTGTGGGGCAGTACATTTGATCAGAGCTGGAGCACTGACTTGTATGATTCAAGGACTTTTTGAAAAGCTCTGAACACCCGGCGTGATCATCTCCATTACTGTGCATGCATTAGTGACCAAGGACATGAAGGAGAAGAGTGAGTTAAACAAACTTTCCTTGTGCCCTAAACTATATTATCCTTTCTGCTTTCTGAATGATTTGATGTGTGGAGAGGAAAGGAAGCCCCTGTTATTTGTCACACCATCATGAAAACCCCCCAGGCAGGAAGGCTGTCAGGGAGGCCAACCCAGCTGCAGTGGCCAGGAAGCTTGTTTTTTTTTTTTACCTTTGCACTTTCTGGATACTCTTCCGGGGTTCGGTGTAGCAAGACATGGCCTTTGCTGGGGATATTTAGATATATACAGTTTGCAGCAATGTCATCAGGCACAGTGAGTTTGTCGTAGCGGTGGTCACTCATCTGTTGCATGATCTATAAAGAGAAACAAAGCAGGCTTAAACAGGTGTCTCGCCACACTTTCAAACAGAAGGAAGGCAGGGCGATGGCAGATAAGCTTGCAACTGATGCCTAAGAACATTCCTCCATGTTGAGGTTCCTGTCTATTACCTCTTCACTTAGAATCAGAAGAGGAGGGGCTGGCCCTGTGGCCAAGTGGTTAAGTTCGCGTGCTCCACTTTGGTGGCCCAGGGTTTTGCTGGTTCAGATCCTGGGCACGGACCAAGCACTGCTCAGCAAGCCATGCTGAGGCGGTGTCAGAGCACAACCAGAATATACGACTATGTACTAGGGGACTTTGGGGAGAAGAAGAAGCAGGAAAAAAAAAAAAAAGAATCAGAAAAGGAAAACCTGATTCATTGCAAGAACTGCAAGGGTTCTTGTTGTTCTTTGAAAAGTATGTGTTTATCTCTAATTTTAAAAAGGTTTTAAAACTGTCTATAATTTTTCTAATTTTTGTTCATAAGACCTATCAGTAAGACACAAAATGGCCACATATACAAAAGGCCCAGTTGGGGTTTTGATGATATTCTTGGCCAAGTAAGCAGGGCTGCCCTGGTCTATAGGAAAAAAGGACCAAAGCAGTCATCAGAGTGGGCAATAATCTGACTTTGTTATAAATACACACACACACACCCCCTCTTGTAGGTACATTTAAAGTGAATTCACCTGTCTGTTGGCAAGTGATGCCCTTCATACAATAAGCATAAAAATCACGTGGGGAGAATGTTAAACTCACATTCCTAGGCCTCGCCCCTACAGACTCTGGTCTGGCAGATTTGAAGTGAGGCAGAGAAATTTGCATTCTGAAGCTCTCCAAGTAATTCTGAGGCAGATGGTCTTTGGACCACACTTGGACAGAAGCCGATTTAGCAGGTCTATTCATCAAATGACAGGTTTATTAATGCCTTAGTATGAAATAACTTTAAAAATAACTGAAAAATGAACTCTGAACAAAATTTAAATTATTGATACCCGATCCTCTTCTCCTCAACAAATCAAGACAAAGACCCAAAAAATAATACACTCCTCCACACACACACAACAAAAATATCCAAATACCGAAAACAAAAACAAATATTATTTTGGGCTTAGTTACGTAAACTCTTTCTATTCTTTATCAATATCCACATGTTTTAAGGCATCTGCTGAAATGTCATGCCATGAAGGTCTAACAATCTTTTCCACAATCTGGTTTTAATCCACCTTTCCAGCCAGGTCCCCATTTACCCTTCAATATTTGTGTGGAAATATGTTTCATATTACTAGACCCCAGAGTTAGTAGATTTGCCCACTCAGTCCTGGTGGCATTGGACAGTAAGATTTATGGTACGAAAGAGGAGAAGAAACTGCATGCTTCTGGTAGAAAATTCATTCCCAAGAGAACATGAAGAGTGGCACATAGTAAGCCCCTCCTGACTAGTGAATCAGGTAAACCATTCACTTCTCCTAGTATGGAATATGTCAAGGGCTGAGAGAGGCCAGGAGTAACCTGACAATGGAATATCCTTCACATAGGAGGAAAAATCAGACATGGGGAGGAGCTTAAGTACTATATCAAAGGCTGAGAGACACAAAGATGAGCAAGACATAGATGTAGTTTTTGAAGAGATCACAGTCTAATGTTGGAGACTGTCAGACAAATAGATAATTACATTAGAATAAGTACAAGCAGGGCGCCGTGCTAAACATTTTACATTTATTACATAATCTCAAAATTCCCATTTTATAGATGAAGAAACTGGACTTAGAGAGGTGAAATAACTTGCCCAAGGCCACACAGGTGGATTCAAGCCCAGATCTGTGCAACTTGAAACCTTGATTAATCATCTTACTCTGCTTTCCTTCCTGACCTCTATAGCCGCAGATCTCTGCTACACACTACCATAACATCTACTTTGCTGCACACAGTTGGTACTTATTATTCATTCTCCTGTGGTACCATTAATTCTCTTTTCATATGAAATCCTATTATGACACGGTTACAGTTTGGTGTAGCTACAGGACTTGACTGGACATCTTTCCTGCACTTTTTAATTTAAACTGCTCCCTGAAGGGACAGGCCCAGAGAGTGAACCACCTGCAGGGTAGGTTCTTTAGAGCCCTGATTGAGAAACCTTAGATCTACTCAAACATGCGGGCAATTAAGAAGTTAAAGACACTCCTAAAGCCAACTATTTTAAGCAAATTGACAACTTAGCCCTCTTTATAAAATGGATATGTCCAGAAATAATATGAAGAGGCATATTTAAGAGAAAAAAAATGCAGACCCAAGTCACTCTCCTATTATGAATTTCTATTTAATATGCCTTATGCACACTTTCTTTTTGGTTGCTTTCAAAACACGATAATAGGAGCCAGCCCCGTGGCCAAGTGGTTGGGTTCACGTGCCTTGCTTCAGTGGCCCAGGGTTTCAGCAGTTCGGATCCTGGGCGGACACCTAGCACTGCTCATCAAGCCATGCTGTGGCAGCATCCCACACACCACAACTAGAAGGATCCGCAACTAAAATATACAACTATGTACCAGGGAGCTTTGGGGAGAAGAAGGAAAAATAAAATCTTTAAAAAAAACCCAATAAAAACAAACACAGTCATAATAGCTTCTGTTTATTATTGTGTGGACAGGGCACATTAAGACCATCCACTCTGGAGTAAGACCTGAGTTTGAGTCTCAGTTCTAACCTTTATGAGCTATGTAAATTTAAATATCTTGGTCCATCACATTTAGGCTAGTTGCTCCCACTATTCATAAGCACCAGATAACTGCCAGTTGGTTTTCCAGTTTAATTCATGAATTCACAGATAATTCATGAACTCTTTATCCATAGATAAAGAAATCACCTATGGCTCTCAGTAGATCAGCTGAAAGAGAAAGAAGCGTGGCAATTCCACATCTCACAGGCCTGACTGTACCTTCAATGGAACAGCCTGGGCAAATTCCCCACATCTCAGCCTGACTCATGCATGTCCGGTGGTGACTATGAAGCAGAAACACGGAATGTTGTACATTCCAGAGGAAGTGTTATGAAGGATTGTTATCAGCGCTGACTTCTTGTTTATCAGTGAGGAACAGAATAAAATCTTCAAGGTTGTGCTTACCTCCGTTACCGTGGAGTAACGGAGACCGTCTATTTCCTTTCCCAGTGTGCTTTATTTACTTGGGCTCCAGCTCTCTCCATGGTCCCTCCCATCCCCCACCTGCACGTCCTTGAGTGAACACTCCTCTCCACCCCCATTGGTTCCTATGTGTTTGATTTGTTGTTCTTCAGTTAATGGAATTTATATGAAATTCTAAGCGCTGTTTTTCCTCACTGTAATGTTTCTCTCTTTTCCGGGCCTTATATTTATAATTTATAGCTTCTGGTGGGAGCATTCCTAAAATTACTGACAGAAGGGCCAGTGTCCAACCTAGCATTATTTGAGGATAGTTTCATCTTTTCATTACTGTGGGGAAAGGAATTATCCATAGTGGGGAAATAATTTAACACTGGGAATATATAAAGTAATTCACTGATAAATTCTACTGAGAGTTACTCTTAAAATAAATGTCTTAACAAAACCACTAAAGTCACTTAGGAGAAGCTTTTCAATTAATTTATCAAGGCCCCATGGTTATCATTTTAAGACAGGTTAAAAAATGTGCCAAAAGAAATGACTTTTAATAATAGAACAGGCTCCATTTGGAGCAGTGAGTGGTTCTGCTTAACTGTGGGAAGGAAAAAATACAAAAGCTATGTCAGGTGTAGTCTTTCGAAATGAAAAGGATTTAGGAAGTGGTAACTGTAGATAAACAAAAAATGCATTTTTTTTTCCATGAAAAAGCTAAAAGGTGCTTATTCTAAACACAAAGAGTCTCTGTCTTTCGGGACAAAGAACAGGGTTCTTTTCTCCTGTCAGAGTGATCATTTCCCTTTCTCTCATATGTTGTTGTTGTCTGAATAAGACAGCTTGCCATTTATTTATAGCTGTTTCAGGAGACACATGTATATACACAACCCAGGGCGCTCGCCATTCAGAGGGGAACACACAGGAAAAGATTCAGGAGACTGTGTCTCTCTCTGACATCTTTCCCTTGTTGTGTTGGAACCGGCACTGTGGGTCCTCACAGAGCCCGCCCAGCAGGGCATCACCTCAGCTCCAGCTTCAGAGGACCAGGACAGAGCCACCGCATGGCAGAGGAACGGGTTTTGTTTCCCCTTTGTGGACGCACAGAAGCCTTTGTTAAAAGATGAGCATCATTTCAAATATCTCAAGAACGTGGTTGTTGGGCCGTTTAGTCCCATGTTCCAACATTTTTTTCTAAAAAAGGATGGAGGAGGTGTATTGCTCCAGAGCTCTGTGTAAAGTGCTCTTTTAACCCCAGGGGCTGTACTTCCTGCTTCTCACCGTGCCCCAAGCGAGAAGATAAAGAAGGCAGCTGACCCTCAACAGCCACTACACAGGCCTGAGAGGCCCCAGAATGGATGATGCACACGACTTCTCCTGGCCTTTAGGGGAAGATCTGAGAAGTCAAACTGCTGCTCTCAATGCCTTTTCTGACTCGTCATTTCCCAAAAGAGTTATTCCACTTTATGGAAAATAGAGTAATTATTATTGAGACTGGATACAGTTGGTGGTCCATTCAATTCAACAGTCCTTTATGGAGCGCTCCCTTTGGGCCAGGCACAATGGTGGTGGGAGGTGGGAAAAGGAAAGAGATGTAAAGGTAACTTGTCAAAGGCTCTGCCTTGAGGATAGGATAATCTATAATTTAAGGCAGGACAAGCAGATGAAGGGTATGCTAGCAGTAAAAACGAACTCAACCTCGCTCCTATCACAGGGAGCTCCTTAGTGAAGAAGGCACTCCAGAGAGAGGAAACGGCTCTGAGAATCATCTTGGCCACGATACTGTGGTCTGTTACACAGCTGGTGGTTTGGAGGAACCCGCCTTGCTCCCCAGAGTGGAGCTGTCACAAAACAGAGTGGGAAATGTCT